AGAATCGATATCAAATCTTTCAACTGAGGGCTGAGGACCCAGCGCGTAGGACCGATGGTTCGCTCTGAACAAGAGAGGCCAATTACACTGACGCTGCTCTCCCTAACCGTCGAAATCTCTGCTGTGAGCGGATGTGTCCAGCGGTGCCCGCCCCGCCCCTCCAGCCTCCAGCCCGGCTCCAGCCCCTCTAGAACTGTCTCTCATGGCCCTCCATTTCCTCTCTTTCCCTTCCGTGCAACGGGTCACAAGCCCCGGGGGGAACCACGCGTGGAAGAGCGATATCAGTTCAGGGTTCAGGGGCCATTTGTTATAAAATAATAGGAGTACCATCACAAGGTAGCGAAAAAAATGTGGGAACCGAAATCAGTTGTATGACTACCCGGCAGCTTTTTGCCTAGGATGACGACTTAGAGAAAAGGACGAAAGTAAAACATAAATTATTATTTTTCGTGCCATTATTACTGCGTTGCTCCCTTGGCTCCACAGCAGCGGCAGCCAATTAAAAACGGTCGTATGAATTGGCATGGGAGTGCGCCGGGCACTATCGACGGGCCGGCCGGCCGGACCAACAACAACAATGTACAGTCGATGGGTGACGGACGGCAGGTCTTGACCATGACACTGGGCGCTCTGCTGGCGTATCCGCTCGTGGCTGGGCGGCTGGGCTGGGCCTCTGCGTGCTACAAACAGGAGCACTATTCATCTTTTACGTCTGTTGTCTGCAAGGCGGGCGGGGCTGGGCGGTGCCGCGGGGGCGTGGCGGGTGCAAGGGCAGACGAGACGGCCTCTTCTGCTGCGTGATGCTGAGCAGATGACCGTTCCAGCCACGCCATGTCATGGGCAGCGGCTGCGTCATACAGGGCCAAGGAAACTCAGCGGCTCGCAAAGAAGGCCCTTTCTTCATTGCCATCCAGGTGGTAAAGCGCCAGAAGCGTTTGGTTTTGTACTTTGTAATGTAAACTGCAGTTACCGTAGGTGTTGTCACACGAGCTCCTTGCTGAGGGTGACTGTCTCAATAAATATTCTTAGAATATACCATGTTTTTCTAGAGAGATGAGGGAGGAGAGAAGGATTAGGAAGAGGGGAGGGGGGGG